GATAGTTATACAAGTCTTTAACACATTCTATTTCTGTATTTATAAAAGTTATAGACTTGGTAGTACAAGGTCAATCATCCGAAATTTGCAAGATACCCGGGATACTATGACCCGCAATATACGCGCTTACGCATTATCAATATTAATAAATTCGAAATTTTGATTGGTCAATTACCAAATTTGTGTACCCGAGGACGTATTAAAAACAAAAAATTTTTTTCTATTCCATATCACAATTAAATATGCGTATAGTAACATGGAATGTTAATGGGATTAGGTCAATAATAAACTATTATCCGTAAGTTTATTAAAGTGATTTACTTACAAACTTTCCTTCCTAGTAAAAATTTTACTTTTATTTTTTTATCGAAATTCAAAGTTGGAATAAATACAAAGATTATAAGGTTAGTTCTTATAGGAAAATAAAATAGTAAATTAAAAAAAAAAAATTTTTTTAATGGTATATTTTATATTTTAGCAAATCCTGGATACACTAAATGCTGATATAATTTGTTTTCAAGAAACAAAAATTACTATAGACAAACTAGATTCTTCCCTTGCAATAATACCAGGATATGACGCTTATTTTTCTTCTTCAAGGGGGAAAGGTGGATACGCAGGAGTCGTTACGTATGTAAGGACAAGTACCGTAAAACCAATTGCAGCTGAAGAAGGAATCTCCGGCATTCTAAGTGAAGTACCTGTATATGCTAAATCAAAAGTTAATGTGATGACAAAAGGAATCATGCCTAGTATTATTAGTGAATTTACAGCAGATGAGTTGTTAGAAATAGATTCAGAAGGTCGATGCGTTACTCTTGATTTTGAGGCATTTGTTTTGTTCAATGTATATTGTGTACATGAATCCTCTCAAGACCGTCTTCCGTACAAATTAAAATTCTATAAAATATTACAAAAGCGTGTAGAAGCTTTGCTTGATTCTGGAAGACAAGTTATAGTTATTGGAGATTTAAATGTTACACATAAAGAGATAGACCATTGTGATCCTCAAAAATCAATAAAAGATTATGGTTTAGAATCTTTTGGTGATCATCCGGCAAGAAAATGGTTTGATAGTTGGATTTCGCCGAATGGTCCAATGATTGACTTGTGTAGGAAGTTTCACCCGGATGAAGAAGGAATGTTTACATGTAAGTTCTATTGTTTATCATGATAAATTTTTATTCTCTTTGAACATGGATAAACTTATATTTTATTAGGCTGGAACACAAGAATTAATGCAAGGTGATAAAATGGTTAATATCTATCATGAATCTTTCCTTCCATATAAAATTTATTAATTACGTTTATTGTAAATCAAATATCAGACCAATAAATTACGGTAATATAAAATTGCTTTTAAAATTTTAAATATGATAGCAATTGATTTTAAATTTTATTTAGGAACGCGTTTAGATTATATACTTGTTAGTGAAGGCTTAGTAAAATGGTTCAAATCATGCGATGTAAAACAAGCTATTATGGGGTCTGATCATTGTCCAATATTTGGTGAAATAATTGATGAAATATATGAAGAGGATCATAAACTTTCATTATTTAAGGAAGATGCCTTAAAGACACCAACACCAAAACTTTGTGCAAAATATTCGGCAAAATTTTCAGGAAATCAACAAACACTGAAAAGCTTTTTTACCAAACAGGATATAAGAAAAAAACAAGCACAGGAAACTAAAATGGAAACTTCGAACACTAGTAATGATGAAAATATAAAAAAATTAACTAATATAATACCATCGGATTCATCAAGTATCATTTCTGAAGGTTTAAAAGGGCAATTGGAACTTGAAGGGAAGACAGGAAGTCAATCTCTAATTAGACAAGGTCAAATGAATAAACCGAACCTTTCTAAGTCGATTAAAGAAACTATAAGTAACAAAACTAAGACAAAATCAAAATCATCATCATATAACCAAACACCTTTAATATCTTTTTTCAAAAAAACCGTTCAAGATACATTACCAGAAAAAAAATTAGAACATGTAAACGAGTCGGAAGAAGAACGGGTAGAGTTAGATTCAGTCATTATATCTGATCCCTCAAATTCTCCTGGAGAATCTTTATACATGTGTAATGATAATGAATATGAACACATGGAGGTTTCTCTCAACAATAATAAAGAAGAGACACAATCTCAATGGAATGATTTATTCAAACCAAGACCTATTCCAAATTGCATTGTACATGGAGAATCATGCAAAGAATATACAGTTAATAAACCTGGAATAAATCAGGGAAGACGATTCTTCTTGTGTTCGAGGTAAGGAAAGAAAAGTTCACTTTTACCTATATAATATACAAGTTCTCTTATTATCTTCTTACATAGGCCTGTTGGGAATTCTCAGGAAAGTCGATGTGACTTTTTTGAATGGGTCAATGGGAATAAATTCAAGTTTTCGAAGCCTGTAAAAAGATCTTATTCAGGTCCAACTCATGATAATAAACCAAACAAAAAGAAATGAGATTCTTAAAAAAAATAATAGATTTCTTACAAATTAAAAATCGACAAACTTATTCAATTTTACAATAAAAAAAACTTATTTTAAAATACACCAAGCAAAAAATAAATAATTCGTAATCAAAGAAAGATGGATACAGCTTGTTGGGATTATCATAATAATCAACATCAAAATAGATATTAAATATTTAATATTTCTAATAGGGAATGTTAAGATGTTTGGGAAAAAACAAGCAATTTAGCTCGCCGTTTAAGTCAAGCACTTATAAGTTAAATAGTTAGACTAGATTATTCAAATAGTTAGTTTTGATTGCTCAAACGGGTTAGTTTAAACCTGCTTTTAGTTATTATAAACTATTAAATTCAGAACGAGATTTATTTTTCTTTAACGCCAGAGTAATATATGAATTTATGCAGAATGGTACGTATACTGAAGATTTTTGAAACCTTCAAAAAACTTTGTCAGATAATGACGATGAAAGTTCTTGTAAATTTGAGAATTTAGATATAAATGACAATAATATATACAATAATTTATGGCATTATTTGTTACTAAATGCATCACATTTAAATGTATATATATATTGAATTTTATTGAATAATAGATAATCTCCACTTCTATAAACATTTCTTTTTTTCCTTGAATTCTTAATAATACCCCTTCATACCATGAACTTTTCTGGTGATAAACGAGGTTGGACTAATTTGTATGTTTAGCGACAGAAAATATTTGTTCGCTAGATACAACTAGTTGTCTGTACGATCTAAGCAATTTTGTACAAGTCTAGAATCACATCAGATGATCGCATCTTCCAAAACTCTAATACTTTCATTCCAATCTTCGTCAGTTGGATATAGGCACAAGAAAAGGTAATTCTTATCATTTCAAAAATTTTTTTAAGTTCTTCGTCGGTAAATGTGACTAGCAAATTTGCGTAGCTTTATAATTAATTTACTAACAACTTGCATACCAGCATTAACTGCAAGATACATTTCATAAGCTGCACAGCGAACTATTTCAAAATTAATTGCTGTTTGGAGCAATTCATTCAATATATCATACTTTTTGCATTATCTGTTGTTACAGCAAGTATTCTTGCACCAATTCCATAATATGTAATTGTTATCAAATATTTTTTTAAGAAATATAGCTTCCAGTATGCCGCTTATGAAGTGGAACCATACCTATTAGTATTTTTGAAGATTTAATTAACCTAATGAAGAGTAACAGCAAGGTATCCTAAGTTTATACACGAAGTCCATACATACATCAGTTGTGATTGCAAATTTATTTTGCAATTTGTTTGTCTTGTAGGAAGTTGAAACTGTTGATCTAATGCTGCAATTTTAATAATTATGGTTTGTGATTATCCATCGATTAAGTTTTATTAAATATGTAACTATTTCTTTATCTTTTTTACAATAAGATTGGTTTGTACAAATCCTGTATTTGGGTGATCTTTAAAATGTCTGTTGATTGTATAGTGGGGGACATAATAAGGCATCCAATAAAATTTGTTCAGCTTAAAAATTTAATAAAAAATTTTTCAGAGCATATATTTAAAATATCTC